GGGGCGCCGCAGCGGCAGGGTGCGGAGCAGCACGGCAGCTCCACAGCCCCTGACTCATGGGAGCCGATCCGCATCTCGGTGTTCACCCAGGACCTTGATGACAGCTCTCGCTACTGCACACAGCCCGGGGAGATGAAGCCTGATTTCAAAGGCTCCATGATGCAATGCAATTCAAAAAATATTCTCACTGATGAAAAGAAACAACTGCTGCGTAAGCAGATAATCCCCGACGCGATACAGATGCACAAGGACCGCCTGCTGGTGCAACCGCTCAAAGATAGCATCCTTGTTGAACACTTCACTGGAGATGTTTGCTCTCACTTTACGATTCCCCAGTCTCACCACGACACCGGTGTACCGGATACCGATTTCGTGCTGTATGTAGCGGCGGGACCAACTGTACCTGGTAATCTTGCGTGGGCAATCACGTGCCAATATGACCCCAGCGGCCGCCCCCTGGTGGGTGCTTCCGATTTTGGGTCCGTATACACTATGGATATTATTCATTCCACACGTATTCTAACGCACGAGATATTGCATGCGTTGGGATTTGAAATTGAATTTTTAAAAAAACGAAATATGGTTGATACTGTGTCTGTTCGTAATAAACCAGCAAGTTATGTTCTGAAGTCGCCCAAAGTGGTGGAAGTCGCGAGGGCTCATTACGGGTGCAGTACTATGAAGTTCATGGAGTTGGAGGATACAGGTGACACGGGGTCTGTCGGCTCACACTGGAAGATGCGCAACGCAAAGGACGACTTAATGGCTGCTGTGAAGTCTGCAAGTTTCTACACTGCCATCACCATAGCAGCGATGGAGGACACGGGCTACTACAAAGGCAACTACCGCAATGCTGAAAGCATGGCATGGGGTAAGAATGCCGGTTGTGTGCTCTTTGATAAGAAGTGCGTTATTGACGGTGTGTCGCAGGTGCCGGAGATGTTCTGTGAAGCTAAAGTTGCTTCAAATAGTGAGTACAGGTGTACATCAGACCGGATGGGAATTGGTAACTGCATGATCAAGCATCATTCAAGCTTGCCAATATATTTCCAGTACTTCCCCGATCCAACAATCGGTGGTACTGAAGACTGGATGGATTACTGCCCGATCATAAAAGCATATTCAAACACTATGTGCTTAAATGGAGATGCAAAAATATTGTCTGGTTCTGTGTTTTCAGAATCTGCGCGATGCTTTTCAGCCGTCTCGAGCACTCATCTCCAGATAAGCGATGGCCAAAATATGCTCTCTATTTGCGCAGACGTGCAGTGTGACAAGGACACTTCGAGGTACCGTGTGCGCGTGAAGGGTGCCAGTGATTTCGTGGACTGTCCACCCGGAAGTACCCTTGTGCTTTCGGACTACAGTGCTGAGTTCTGGTCTGGTGCAATCACCTGTGCACCATACGAGGAGATGTGCCTTAAAGCTTATTATTACAACAAAAATCAACAGGTTTCTACTTCCGATACGACTATTATTGCGTATAAGTTTACATACACTCTTGTTGCAGCGATGACAGCAATGATTGTTCTCGCTGAATATTGACAGGGGGCAACGTGCGTAAAGGGGGTGAACCGCAGGAAACATACACTAAACAGGGATTTAGAACGGTAAAATTAAGTCAGGTACGCTATAAAGTGACGCCTGATCGTTTTTTTTTTGGAATTATTTTCCTTCTTTTTCATTTTATTAAGTAGACAAATCTTTCTTTCCTTATATATAAATTGTCTTTTTGTTTTCTTCAGACGTACGAGAGGTATATTTTCCCATCGGCGTGTAAATTATGAATTGTACCTCATCAGGAGTGAGGAAACCACCGACTGAGTCGGTTTAAATGTTGAATACAAATATCATTAAAAAATGCTAAAATCTATGTAACCAAAAGACGAGTGTGGAGTGGACACTCGCATCTTAGAGAAAGCATAACGAGTGAAGGGTGCTAAATTAGGCACATCAATACGCTGTCCTCGTTTTTGCAGTAAGTGTGTTAATTTCTTTCTACTGTTAAATCAATAAAGATATATTACTTACGAGAGATAGCACACAATTAACATTAATCCATTTTATATCATAACAGAAACAATACCTACACTGCTGATCTCTATTCACTCTAGTTGTGGTACTTTATTATTGCAACCTCCATCGCGAGTGTAAAGGATGCTGTGCGGTAGGGCACCGTAGCCGAGCTTCATGGGCACCTGGTGCGCATCTGAGTAATACCCCTTCCTTCTTATTTCCCTTCCCCTATCCC